CCCTGACATATAATATTATATCAGGTAGTACAGGGGTTGGCAACCTTTCAGAAGTGGTGTGCCGAGTCTTCATTTATTCATTCTAATTTAAGGTTTCATGTGCCAGTAATATGTTTTTAGAAGGTCTCTCTCTATAAGTCTATATTATATAATGAAACTATTTTTGTATGTAAAGTAAACAAGGTTTTTAAAATGTTTAAGAAGCTTCATTTAAAATTAAATTAAAATGCAGATCTTATCAGTTTAGTGCAGTGGTTCTTAACCTGGGGTGCACGCACCCCGTAGGGGGTGCAAGACATGCGAGATTGGTTTAGAAGGTAAATCATCAAAAACACAAATTAAGTACAGGCACATAAGTACAACTACACCGCTACCTTAATATAACGCGACCCGATATAACACGAATTCGGATATAACACGGTAAAGCAGCGCTCCGGGGGAGCGGGTCTGCGCACTCTAGTGGACCAAAGCAAGTTCAATATAACACGGTTTCACCTATAACGCGGTAAGATTTTTTGGCTCCCGAGGACAGCGTTATATCGAGGTAGAGGTGTACTTTATTTCATCAAACCTATGTATTTATTAACATTATACATTTTTTAACGATTACTGTAATATACAAATCAAGATTTTAAGCTAATTGTAGTGTCATTTTTGATAAGGGGTGCGAGAACATATTTTGAGAACTCTAGACCATCAGCGCGCTGAGCGGGGCAGGTTGTAGTGTATTAAATTGCTCCTCATAGCAATGTGCTACTTATGGTGTACTACTTAGGGCTGCCAGTCCTGATGCTCTGAGCGGCATGGTAAGGGGACAGGGAACAGGGGTGGTTGGATAGGCGTGGGAGTCCCGGGGGGCCTGTCAGGGGTGGTGGATAGGGGTCGGGGCAGTCAGGGGACAGGGGGGCTTGGATGGGGGGTGGGGTCTCGGGGGGGCGGTTAGGGGTGAGGGGGTCCCAGGAGGGGGCGGTCAAGGGACAAGGAGCAGGGGGGATTGGATGGGTCAGGGGTTATGACGGGGGCAGTCAGGGGGCAGGAAGTGGGAGGGAGCGGATAGGGGGCGGGCTGTTTGGGGAGGCACAGCCTTCCCTACCCGGGTGTGGTGTATTAAATAATTTCTCCCCGTAGGAATGTGCTACCTATGGTGTATTAATTACGGCTGCCAGTCCTGGTGCTCCACAAGTAGCGCATTCCTACGGGGAGAAATTTAATACACTACATTGGCGGACAGAACCCTAGACCGGCGACGGGCTGAGCGGCTCAGCCCGCCGCCAGTCTGGGGTTCCGTCCGCCAGCTCCTGCCAGCCGGGCTCCTGGCCACCGGTCCCACTCAGCCCGCTGCCGGCCTGGGGTTTCATTCACCCAGGCCGGCAGCAGGCTGAGTGGGGGTGGCAGCCAGGATCCTGGCCAGCGTGCCAGTAAAAATCAGCTCGCGTGGCGCCTTTGGCATGCGTGCCCACAGGTTCCAGACCCCTGTTGTAGTACTATGTCTATTATGCCAGACAGTCCACGAAAGTCACCTATATAAAGTGCATAGTCAATCATATTTACAAAGATGAACAGTACTATGAATTCAGATTAGTAAAAGTTTGTTGGTATTTAAATAGGCTATCTAATTTTACAGTGATGTTAGTTTTTATTTAACTGGGTCAGCAAGTCCTTGAATTGCACAGGAACATAGCTGTGATGCCAGCTAAAAAGTCTAGTATATGGCTGCTGACTAAATTATTAAAAAAACCATATCCCTTAGAGAAATATTTACATATAATACAAAGTCTAAACCAGCTTCTCAGATGGTGTGATTCCATTAAGAGTCAATAGGAATATAGTGGACCATTCTTTGACAACGCTACTGGTCTAATGGATGCCGAGAAACAGTACTTGTGAAACATCCTGATTTTAGTAAGGCTTCTGACACAGGTCTACATGGCATTCTTGTAAGCAAGCTAGGGAAATGTGGTCCAGATGAAATTACTATAAAAGTGGATGCACAACTGGTTGAAAGGCTATACTCCAACAATAGTTATCAATTATTCACTGTTAAACTGGGAAGGCATATCTAGTGGAGTCCCACAGGGTGTCAGTCCTGGGTCCTAATATTCCAGACCTAATATTTTCCTACCTCAGAGGAATGTTGTGAACATTAATGTTTATTTATCATTTAATAATGCTTTACATGCAAAAAGTCTAACCTGCTTTTAATACAATCATTTCATCTTTAAAATTAATTTCTAGGATTCATTCTTTACCAATATACCCCTGTGACATGGGGACAAGCAGAAGACAAGTATACTGTGTGCCAGACTGGTTAACAATACAAAAGGAGAACCACTTCAGCGCTGGATCCCCACACTCAGCCAGATGCCCTCCGTATCTCCAAATTCAACTATTCAAAGGGAAAAAGGAGTGTATGGGGCAGCATATCCCAGACTCCAGGAGCAGATCAGACTCACCTATGATCAGCCATGCCTTGTCCTTGCTATATACCAATCCAAGGGACAGACAGCATAGAAATGCTGTTGCGTCAAGATTTGGCAATACTAGCTCTGCATAGGAACTGCCATACTAAAAGCAAACTGTCATAACTATAAAGGGAAGGGCAACAGCCCTCCTGTGTACAATACTATAAAATCCCTCCTGGCCAGAGACTCCAAAATCCTTTTACCTGTAAAGGGTTAGAAGCTCAGGTAACCTGGCTGACACCTGACCCAAAGGACCAATAAGGGGACAAGATACTTTCAAATCTTGGTGGGGGGGGAAGGCTTTTGTTTGTGCTCTTTGTTTTGGTGGGAGTTCGCTCTTGGGACTAACAGGGACCAGACATTAATCCAGGCTCTCCAAATCTTTCTGAACAAGTCTCTCATATTTCAAACTTGTAAGTACAGCCAGGCAAGGCGTGTTAGTTTTATCTTTGTTTTCTCAACTTGTAAATGTACCTTTTGCTAGGGTGTTTACCTCTGTTTGCTGTAACTTTGAACCTAAGGCTAGAGGGGGGTCCTCTGGACTCTAAGTTTGATTACCCTGTGAAGTTATTTTCCATCCTGATTTTACAGAGATGATTTTTACCCTTTTCTTTAATTAAAAGCCTTCTTTTTAAGAATCTGATTGATTATCCCTGTTTTTTAGATCCAAGGGGGTTGGATCTCCATCCACCAGGAGTTGGTGGGAGAGAGGAGGGGGGATGGTTAATTTCTCCTTGTTTTATGATCCAAGGGGTTGGGATCTGTATTCACCAGGGAATTGGTGAAGAGTCTCTCAAGGCTACCCAGGGAAGGGAATTAGCACATTGGGAGTGGTGGCAGCAGACCAGATCTAAGTTGGTAGTTAAAGCTTAGAAGTTTTCATGCAGGCCCCCACATCTGTACCCTAAAGTTCAGCCTGGGGAAGAAGCCTTGACACAAACAACAGCTTGCCTATAGAGAAAATTTCTTTCTAATCTCAGGTTTATGCACCTTATAAATGTTTATTTTATCTAATTTTCCTGTCTGAGTACTTATTTTACCCCTCATCACTGTAGCATCTGAAAGCTGTCCCCCACACCCCAGTATTTCTGGATTTAGCTGCATAATAACCCTGTGAGGTAGGGAAGTATTGTTATCTCCATTTTCAGATGAGGAACTGAGGCACAAAGAAATTAACAATTCGCCTGAAGTCAGAACGGAAAAGGTAGAGCCCGTAACTGAACCTGGTACTCCTGAATCCCAGTCCAGTGCCATAACCAAAGATTATCCTTGCTGTAGAAGCAAATATTTTTTATTCACACAAATGTCTAATCTTTTTCTGACTCTTACTAGGAATTCTGTCTCAACAACATCTTGTGGCAGTGAGTCTTTCAGATTAATTATGCCTAGTATAAAACAAAGTATTTTCTTTGATCAGTTTTAAATTTAAAAACAGACTTCGGACTGACCCTCTCTATATCATTCATTATCTTATTTACATGTATATTAACATGCCACCTCTTGCTATTCTCTTCTCAAATCAGCTTCACTTTACATTGCTAATGAGCATTAGACCTGAAGATTTCAATATTAGGAAAACAGTAAGAGAGAGCGAGAGAGAGAGAGAGCAAGCGAGAGAGTGTGTGTTTTATAATGCATATTATATATTTAAAATCATACATATGTACACACGGCATTAGACATTCCCATCTTGGTTCACATCTGAGGAAAGGAAGAACAGGGATGACGAGCGTAGGCAGGAAAGACTACAAACGTCTGGAAGCTTTGATGACATGCAGCTGGAGCCCATATGCCACCATGAAATAAAGAAAATATTTCATGTAAAAATGTGTGGGTAAAATAGTTTTTCTTTCAATGAAATATAAGCAATAATAAACGCAGTACTGTGTTTCAAAAAATCATGGGTGGCTCCAAAAAACATTAAGACAGTGAAAAAATTAATATGGTTTACTGAATAGTTTTAGTCAAATTTCAACTATAGTCAGAATTAAGATAGGATTCCCCTGTGAGGGTAAGACGAAAGACACTTTTTACATCAAATTTAGCACTAACTCTTCAATTAAAAGAAGAGAAGCAGTGAAAATACAAAGTTAGATAAGTACTTTGCTCACTGGTTTGACTTTGTTCATGCTCACTGGTTTGACAGTTACTGATAGGGCATAATGCTGGGCGCTGTTTCAATTTATCTCTAAACAGATTATCCTTTAAAAATTCCTAATGACAAAATGTGCTAATTAACCCAGACCTCCATACTAATGTGCTAGTCAAACTGTGGGGAAAACTGCCACAAATTCTATGCATAGAACAGAAATGTATGCATATAGACCAGTGTTTTCTTTTCATTACTATCCATTGAGATGTAGCTTGTGTTTTACTGAAAGATGAAAATGACTGTATAAATACCATCTTGTTTTTCATGCACAGTTAAATACAATCCATATTGTATAAATAATAATAAATCCAAGAAGCTAATTTTTAAAATTATTTAATACCCCCCCCCCTTTTCTACAGATTCAGTGTAAATAGCCTATGTATTACCTTTGTTACTGAAATCATCAATCATCACAATTTCTGCCAAATATTTCCTTGGTGTCCTTTTTATTACACTGTGAATTGTCCTCATGAGTGTGGACCATCCTTCATTATGGAAGACAATGACAACACTGGAGGTGAGCAGGTTCTCATCATAATGCCAATACTTGCACCTGCAAAAGATTTTTTGTTACTGTAAATTTGCCAGTGTATCTCTTAATAATGTGTGTGAATGAAGTTTTATTTAATGTCTCTGCTTCAAGTTAAAGATAAGCAGGATATCAAAAACAAAATACAACATTACTATTTCATAGATTCATAGGATTTTAAGGCCAGGAGAGACCATTATGGTATCTGACCTCCTGCATTATACATTTATATTACTGATTTATAAAAAGCAGCAACCAGTTTGTAATGTTCCTGTAAACCACATTGTTACAAGTAAAAAGAATAGTTTGTTAAATGTTTCCATTTGTGTCACATATTTAGTATACAAAACCTGCAAAATCTTGTAAAGTACTACTATAAATATTAGGTGGAATGTTTCTCACTGTGTCCCAAAGCCCTGGTTTATCAGTCCTTTCATATCTAAACACATTTTTAAGCACTCAGATATTAAATGACAGATGTGCAGAAGCTGCACACGTATGCTCATTTGCCACTGCTGCATATAAAAGTTTCTGTGCTATATAAACTCTGACAGAAAAGCATAGCTGCTTATGGAGAAGATTTTATCTTTACAACAGAAAAGATTTTATTAATTGGTAATCACTGATGCATAAACTTTCAGCTATGATGAATGAAGGCTAAAAGTGCCTTGACATCCACACCCCCCCCCCCCGCCCTGCCCCACCAAAACAAAAATAAAGCATTGTACCCAGGAGCGGCGCCAGGGTTTTTGCCGCCCTAGGCGGCAGCGCTCCTCCTCTGAGCATTTGGCAGCGGGGGAGTCCTTACGCACTGCATCTTCGGGGCACTTCGGCAGCAGGTCCTGGAGCAAGTGAAGGAGCCACCGCTGAATTTCCGCCAAAGACCTGGAGCGGAAGGACCCCCCGCCGCTGAATTTCAGTCGAGGGCGGCAAAATGCCACCCCCCAAATCCTGCCGCCCTAGGCGACCACCTAGGTTCGCCTAGTGGAAGCACCGGCCCTGATTGTAACCAGTCTACTGAGGATACATCTTTTTGCCAAATTCTGTGTAGATATACAATTTTAAAAAACAGATAAGTCAACAATGAAGCTCAGACTGCCAACAACAAATTTCAGCCACAGCCCAACTTCAAAGGCTTCCTATTAAAAAATTTATCAAACAAGAGACCAAACAAGATCTGCACACAAAATCCAAAGAGCATAAAAACAAACAGTATGAAATTTCACACTAATAGACCATCTACATTTAGGGGGGAAAAAAACAAGAGTTGGTGGCGACTTTAGAACGTAAACTATCTATGATGTTGCTACCAGGGGTCACCATAATAAAAAAGTAATATTCAAAATTCTGAGCTGAGTAACCTTTAAATGGTTGCCATTCCCTTATAGATTAACAGAAATTCAGCTGGGACAGTGGTTCTCAAACTTTTGTACTGGTGACCCCTTTCACATAGCAAGCCTACAAGTGCGACCCCTCCATATACATTAAAAACACTTTAAAATATATTTAACACCATTATAAATGCTGGATGCAAAGTGGGGTTTGGGGTGGAGGCTGACAGCTCACAGCCCCCATATAATAACCTTGTGACCCCTGAGGGGTCCTGACCCCGCAGTTTGAGAACCCCTGAGCTAGGACCACAGAAGGTGGCACATCAAATGACAACAGTATATCCATCTGGTAGTCCAGACTTCTGACATAGGTCACACAAGATGGTGCAAAGTAAAGTGCAAGGAGCCCCCTAGTGGACAACTTTGGAATACCCTCTTCAGAGAAAATTTTTAATTCCCAATTAGTCCTTGTGTCCTGAAGCACGTGGATTTATATCCAATCTAATGTAATGGTGGATGTTCTCATTTCCCATATAAAAGGTTTAAATATTTTAAAAATACTACTAAGTTTTTGGGTTCTAACATCGTGTGGCAATGAGTTCCAGATGAGGGATGCTGCGTGAAAGGATTTTCTTTTATCAGTTTGAAATGTGCTCCTTTTTAACTTCATTGAATGTTCCCTTTGTCTTCTATGGTTAAGAAAGGAAAACAGGATTTACTACAACTTTGCCCTTTATTATTTTAAGCCTTATGTCCCCTCACCAAACTAAACACTTCCAATCTTTTCAGACTGTCCATGTCTCTAAAACCCTTCTATTTCTACTAGATCATATGAGATATCATAGAATATCAGAGTTGGAAGGGATCTCAGGAGGTCATCTAGTCAAACCCCCTGCTCAAAGCAGGACCAATCCCCAACTAAATCCCCAAATAGCCCCCTCAAGGATTGAACTCACAACCCTGGGTTTAGCAGGCCAATGCTCAAACCACTGAGCTATCCCTCCCCCCATATAGGGTCATGCAGTACATTAAAGTGCACTACAGAACTTTTAGTGCACAGTAACAGGATCCACACAGCCAGTCAGTGTGCTAGAGAGTCACACCCTGGCTTGCTCTGCACTAAATAATTGTGTAGACAAGTCATTAGAAACCAGCAATGTGTTTAAGTCGTTCAAAATATTCCTTCCAATACATATTACGTCACATTTCTCAGCAGTGAATTTCATTTGCCATTGTGCTGCCTATTTACCTAATTGCATTAGATCCCTCTGAATCTGCTTAGTCACCTTACTTATGACCAACCTAGGCAAGTTGGGTCAGCTTCAAATTTTATCACCTCACTCCCTGTAAGAATCTGCAGGATTGTAATTTGGGACCATGGAGGTCCTGGGCTGATGCTTCCACATCCCTATTGAAAGAATAGGCTGGGTTTTCAGTGAGGGACCGTATGAGGCTAGACACTGCAGAAAGTACTGCCCAGCAGTGCCGCAGTGGTCACCCACCCTCCCCCCACTGATTGGCTCATGCTTGTATACAGGCCGGCTCTGGCTTTCTGGCTGCCCCAAACAAAAAAAAATATAATAAAATAAAAAAACCTGCGGCGCGGCCAGAGTGAGGGTGCAGGGGGACTCCCTGCCCTGCAGATGTGCCCCGGCTAGCGGGGGGAGGGGGAGGGAGAGAGAAGGGGGGCAGCTAGGGCTTCAGTGGGGCACTGCCATGCGGTCCCTCCCGCCGTGCCCCCTGCCGGGAGGGCTCCACACTGCTCTGGTCGGCTGGGAGGGAAGGATGCGGCCTGCCCTGCCGGGTTTGCTGCAGGGCGCTCCAGTCCTCCACGCCGCTGCCCCCTACAGGGCGGCCGGAGCGGAACAACAACAACAACAAAAAGCGGCCGTGCCGCCCTAGGATTGGGCAGAATGCCGCCTCCTACAAGCTGCTGCCCCAAGCACCAGCTTGCTCGGCTGGCGCCTGGAGCCGGCCCTGGTTGTATATAAATCAGGAAGCCATCATGGTGAGCTATGTGAGCAACGACATAAAACACCTGCTTGCTTCCGCTCCAGACCTTGCCTTGTTGTGGACCCTAGACTCTGGCTTCTGATCCTGGTTTGTCCCTGACTGCCACTTGCCTGCTGTTTGTAACCTGGTGCCTGATCCTGACTCTCTGGTATCCTGACCTGGCTCAAACCCGACTGTGCTACTTGTCTCCCATCTGCAACTTGGTGCCTGACCCTGACTTCTGGCTCAACTCCAACCCCACTATTTGTCTCCTGACTGCAACTTGGTAATTGACCAGAACACACAGGCCACCCACAGCCTGGCCCTGGCACTCCTTTTCCAGGTATCCTTTTCCATAGAATCATAGAGTTAGAAGGGACCGCAAGTGTCATCTGGTCTAACCCTCTGCCAAGATGCAGCATTTGTTGGGTCTAAGCCATCCAAGACAGATGGCTATCCAGCCTCCTTTTGAAAACCTCCCGTGGAGGAGCTTCCACAAGCTACCTGATGGTATCAATACTACCAGTCCTACTATAGAAAATTGGAGGAACCTACTATTAAGTTAATTTTCAACATGGCAATAGGTTAACTGTTAACTACAGGAATGTCTATAGAACAGGAGAGATTCTGACCTTGTTTTCCAGCATTGTCTAACTTGTGTTTATTAGGTGTTATAGAAAAACAAAGACAGACAGAGCAAGCTCACATCTTATTCCTCATTTTTATATTTCCTTATATACTGTATCAGAGGTTATCTGTAAAGAATCCTGCATCTGCTTGATAAACAGAACAATTATGTTCATCATGCCATTGGATGTTTCAAAAACAAAATTCAGAAAGCAAGCAGACATGCAAATAGTTGGAGCGTTGTGGATGACTAGAGGCATTTGTACAAAAGGAGGGAAGAATTTTGCTGTTTTAAGAAGGAGATGTGATTCAGTGCTATTCTATATATCACCAAAGCAAAGTTGAAATCTGGTAGACACAAACTATTCTCACATTCCAGAAACCAGTTTATAATGTGACTGCAAAATCTATTAAGATTGTCCCTAATGAGGCCTCTACTCTCTCAAATGAGCTTGAAATACCACTTCTGAAATCAGAAGAGCTCTTTAAGAATATGGATTAGAGACTGTATATTTTGTATCTTGCTATTTTTATAGCTGGAGATAGAAAGAATAAAAGACAATCACTTCTATCAGCTAAGGACATGCAAGTATCTGTGGACAGACTTTCAATTAATCGTACATTCAGACCACTGGTTTTTCACCCAAAGTCTGCGTCACAAAAATTTTGACTGATTTCAAATAGTAGTAACTCCAGTTTGAAGCAGAAACCTTTTCTGGTATCCCTCCACTATGATACGAGTTGTTGGCAATATAGGTACTATACTGTGTGCAGGCTACATGCTTAGCTATTGTGTCCCTTTTAAGTTATTTATTAGAGGAAAGTTTTTCCACTACGTACTTACTCAAGGCAGGTTACGTATTTGAACTGTGTTCTGTTTTAAATGTGCATTTATCTGGATTAAGTTTGGAGTTTTAGTTACGCTTATTTGGAAGTATTTCTACCACCCCATTATCATGCACTCTAATATATCATGTTCTAAGACAGAATGGCAGCTGAAATCCATTCAAAAATTCAATTTAAAGGTCATGGAAAATATCTGTATGTTTGCCTTATGAGAGAAGGTGGTATCTG